TTCGGCAAGGCTTCCTTCAGGTCCAGGCCAAGCACGGACGTACCTGCTGGGCGCCCGCTTCTCCAGGCAGAGTTCTCATCTCCCTGGCTCACCAGCTCAGCACGGCACGCTAAGTAAACGTCACTGCTTGGGACGCATCCACCTGAGGTCTTGGTACAATCTGGGAAACTTCCTTTGGAAGTCTGCCTGAATGTGGGACCATCCTCGTCGCCCTGAGAGTCCAGGGTGTCGCCTGCCCAGCCTCACTCAACAACCCATCTGTCCCCTGGCAACGGCAGGACCCCGGCCAGACGCCCCCCTGGAGCCAGCTCTCATACTGCCCCCGTGCGTCAGCCCCTGAGTCGTGGAAGCCCAGCCTCCCCTTTCCAATCCAGGCCCCGCTGCTTAAGAGGGAAAAGGCCTCCCTGAGAAGATTTCCAGCTTCGGAAGAGAACCCGGAGCGGAAACCCTCGGGCATGGTTGAGATGAACAGGCACCGTCACACGCGTGCAGCTCACACGAGGGCAAGTACAGATTCAGATACGGGGAGGCTGGCTGGGTCCCAGGCCCCGACGGAAGCCCCTGGAGGCAGCACAGCTGGTGAGCTGAGTGGCGCCCATGATTCTCATCGGGTACGGCCGTCTGACGGGCATGTCAGAAGGCCACATGGCTAGTGTTTAAAACAGGATTTTAAATTAGCTGATTTAAATGTGCACGATAGGTAACTTTAGGCGGACTTTACGTCTTTACGTCAGACTTGTAAATTCAGGTGAAACGGCCATCAGCTTGGAGCTGTGTGGACGCCTAGGTGTACCCGTTCTTTCTTAGCTGCGGCTTTCATTTTCAAGTAGGAAGTCCCTCTATGTCTCTGCGGCCATTGCTGACCACGAAGCTTAGCAGTCTGGCTTCCTTTCAGAGCTGTGCAGAAGGGATCCTCCCCTGTGTCTGATCCTGAGGCCAGGGCTGAACGGACAGCGTGCGTGAGGGAGTGGAGTGGGCGTTTCATGGCAGCCAGGGTCTTGGTCCGCGATGTTCTATGTGGTTGCCTAGCACTGGGCGTCCCAGGGACCCAGCACAGGCAGCCTTTGCAGAAGCGCTGGTGAGTCCGAGGCTCCTGTGCGCAGAGGTGGGGCCTCGGAGCACTCCCCCGCCCCGCTCAGGCTGTTCTCGGCCCCGTGGAGGCTCATCCCTTGATGTTCTGGCTCCGCCCTGAAATGAGGTCACGTTTCTGCTCAAGTGTGTGCCTGTGCATGTGTTTGCGTGTTTGTGTTTGCACGTGTGCACGTGTGTGTGTGTGTGTGCATGTTTCCGTGTGTGTGCACCTTGACCTCCAGGCAGTCCTCAGGGCACTTCTTGGCTCCGTGTTCGTGCCCTAAGAAAAACCACGTGAGGGAAACACACCCAAACGCAGCGTCGGGGAGTCCGGGCAGCTCTGAGCCTGGCCTGTCCTTCTCCAGGTCTCTGAAGTTGCTTTGTTTCAGCAGTGACGGAGACCCTCCGGGCAGCTGAGCGCAGAGCCATGCCCTCCTCGCCTGCCCCGCCCCGGGGGCTCTTGCTCTGCCCTCTTTTCCGCTTGCTTCAGTGGCAAGCCTGTGGCTTGTGAGTGGCAGTGGGCTGCCTGTGCCCCGCGGGGAGGCGTGGAGCACTACTCTTAAATAGAAAAGCCTCTCCTTCCCCACGCACTGCCTTTCTGATATAGCAGGTTCCAAACCAGCCTGGCCTGCCAGCTTGCAGAGAGGTGTTGGCGCTGTAAATAAAACCCCACGTGTGCTGTCCGAGGCCTCCAGATATGGCCTTAATCAGCCTCACCACACCGGCCTCCAAGGTCAACAGCGGCCGCACCTGAGCGCCACGTGTGTGCACGGTTCTTTCAGTACAGATGTCCCCAAACTTTTTACACAGGGGGCCAGTTCACTGTCCCTCACACCGTTGGAGGGCCGCCACATACTGTGCTCCTCTCACTGACCACCAATGAAAGAGGTGCCCCTTCCTGAAGTGCGGCGGGGGCCGGATAAATGGCCTCAGGGGGCCGCGGTTTGGGGACGCCTGTTTCAGTGTGTCAGAGGCAGCTGCGAAGCAGTCACTTGGCTCTGGGCAGACTGCAGGGACCGCATGCTAATTGCCACCGGTGGGCTGTGTGGCCTTGAGCAAAGCACTGACCCCTCTGGCCTTCGTCCCCTTCTGTGAGACCCGGGACAGTGCCTGGGACGCGGCTGGTGCTCAGTGTGCACCGTGGGTGTTGGCGCCCCGACACCCAGCGGGATTCTTCACACACGCTGCCTGCATTCACGCCAAGGAGTCTGGGGCCAGGGTCCCCATCCGTGACAGGGCGAGACCCCTGATTCCACAGAGGAGCCGTGCGGGGCCTGAGCTTCGGTGGAGAACGTGGTGGGAAGAGCCGGAGCTGGCTTTGGGGGCTCGGTCCTAGATCCGCGTGGCCCCGAGGAAGGGATGCTGTGCTGCCAGATGTCCTCAGACGTAAAACAAACGGTGCCTGGACCTGGGGGGGGGGGGTCCCACAGCCTGGTCCCGCCCGGCCGTGCCAGGTCCGGCCTATCTGCCCTCACAGATGAAGCCATCCCCTTTATTTAAAGAAAAGAAGGAAAAAGTCCGCAGTCTGTCATTCCCAAATGCGGAGGTGTCTGTCAGCATAGGCCTGCCCCGGGGGCTGGCGCCACTGAGGCCCCGTGTCCCCTCAAAGCCCCGGTGGGGGGATCAGCAGCTGCGCCTCCACCCCGCCCACCAGGCGCCCCTCACAGCATGTGTGTCCAGCTCTAACTCTGCCTCCACCCCAAGGCCATCTCTCTGGCCCTTCCCCAGCCTCTGTCATCTCTCAGATTCGGGGTTGCATGCGACACCTCTTTGCCTCCGTGGGGATGCTGTAAGAAATGAGCACACACCAAGGGGCTGAATAAATAGAAATTGATTGCCCCAGCTCTGGGCCCAGAAACCCCAAATGCACACGGGCCATGCAACCCCCGGGGCCCTGAGAAGGGTCCTTCCTGTCCCAGTTGCTCCCGGAGCTCCAGGTGGCCCTGGCAGCGCCATGCCCGCCTCTGTCTGTCTGCAGGTGGTCTTCTCTAAACACCTGTCCTGGGTTCAGGGCCACCTCATCCAGGACGAGCTCTGCTCAGCTCGCTCAGCACTTCTGCCAAGACGCCCTTTCCAAATAAGGTCACGTGCACAGGTTCCGGGGGAACGTGAACGGGGGAAGGTTGGGGGCTCTGGTCCACCCACCCCAGCCCCAGCGCGGGTCCAGCGAGCACTCTGTAGGGAGCTGCCAGGAGGATCCTGGGTGTCACCCAGCCCGGGTCCCCATGGAACCGTCTGCCGTCCCTGTCTCTGCGCGTCTCTGTGTGTCGCCAGCTGTGGCTGGAAGGACACCCTGCGGCCGGACACTTGGGGCTTTGGACTCGGCAGAGCCCTGAGCACTACTGTGTGGCCCCGGCCCCAGGCCGACGCCAGCGGGAGCAATTCTCACACTTGGTGTTTTTGGAGCCTCCCAGGGTGTGAGGTTTCATGGACTGAATGAGCTTCCTGAGGCACCGGGGTCCCTGTTGAATGTGATACAAAGTGGCTCAGTAGGGACCCGCCACCTCCCACCCCACCCTAGTTCCACAGTGAAGACAAAGGACCCCAGACTTCAGACTTAGACAGCAGAGACAGCGCTCTCTGACCCCTGAGGACGGGAAATCAGGAATCATGGTGTCCCAGGCCGGCCCCGTCGGAGGCTGTGAGGGAGGAGCTGTTCCCGGCCTCCCTCCGGGGCGCAGGATGGCATGTCTTGTGCACACAGCCTTCTCCCTCCTGGAGCGGGTGTTCGCATCCCCTTTTTATGATATGGACCCCAGTCTCATCGGGTGGGGGCCCACCCATTTCCCTGTGTAACCTTAGTCACCTCTTTAATGGCTGAGTTTCAAAACCTGCCACATTCGGAGGTATTGGGGGCTAGGGCTCCGAGACAGCTTCTTTTGGGGTCACAATTCAGCCATAACAGGAGAGCCCCCGATGGGAAGCACCTCGAGGCCTGTGGGAAGGACCCCCCCAGGGCTGGGGCAGCGCAGGTGCATGGATCACAGCAGCCCGTTTACTCACCAGTTTATTTCTGGTGGGAAACCCCTCAAGATGCAGAGAGGCTGCAGCCTCCAGGGTCCCCAGAAGGCCTTGGGCAGTGGGGGGCTGTTTATCTGGGAACTGGGGTGGGTAGTGAGGAGGTGCCCTGCGGAGCCTCGGGCTGGTGGGGAACGGGCTGGGGAGGGCAGCGTGGCGTTCAGGAGGAAGCTGGCACGTGGCACGTTTGCCTGGTAGCTGGTCCACGCAGCTGCCGGCCATGGCTCCTGTTAGCCACAGGCAGCAGTGGCAGCAGACCCAGGCCGACCCAGCACTGGCCAGAGCTCAGCGGCTGGGGCGTCTCCCCTGCTGGGGGCTCACGCACCCGGGAGGCCGTCTCCACCTCATTCCTGCACCTCCCGAGGTCAGCACCAGGAGAAGTCCTTTCTCATGCCAGAGGGTCCAGAAAGCTTTCGGGGCGTGAATTTAAGGAAGAATAAGGTCAGGCTCCAAAACCAACACGCACACCCCCTGCGGAGCCCGACAGGGCCGCCCGGCTGCAGATGGCAGAGAACAAGGCTGACACTGTGAGCGGGGGCGGGGTGGGGGGCGTCAGGGTGACCCGGGTCTGGCCTCTGACTCGGCCTCTGTGTCTCCGCCCCTCTCTCCCCCATGTGGACCCGTCCCGGTGGGCCCTGCAGCCGCGTCGCTGAAGCGCCAGCTTCTCCTTCTAGCAGTCATAAAAGTGCAGCAGTCGGGTCCCTGTGACCAGGCCATGCACAGCCCCCACCTTCCCGCGGCGGAGCCCGAGTGTGGGTCTGGCCAGATGCCGCCTGGATTTGGGAGACTCTTGAGACAAGACAGGCAGAGCTTTCGGCCACCCCCATGGGGGGTGTGTTGGAAGGTTCCTGCCTGGACGTGCCGTACCCACGGAGAGACGTACTCTTGCTAACCAGACATTCTTCTCTCAGGACTCACAGGCCCCTCGGACCAGACGTTCTTCTCAGGACTCACCAGCCCCTCGGATACCACTTGGCCACGCCCGCTGTGTGGCTGAAGCCTGGAGGTCCCCACACAGAGGCACGGAGATGCCCCTGCACCCGCTGGGGGACAAGCCCTTTGTCCGGGGGCCACCACTCACCTTCCCCAGCCCCACTTCAGCCATGGAAAACGGATTTGACCACACCCCGGCCGGCAGGAGGGCGCCCCTGGCCACGGCCCTGAGCCCCGGCTCCCTGCACTCCGCTGCCCACAGCCCCCTGGACACCAGCAGCCAGTCCCTCTGCCAGCCCCGGGCCGAGAAGCGCGGCGCCCGGGGGGCCCACGAGGCACGGTACGTCTCGGCCAGGCAGAGCGCGGTGTGCGGCTGGTGGGCCTTCGCGCCACGGTGCCTGCAGGTCCTCAACACGGCCAAGGGTGTCCTGTTCTTCCTCTGCGCGGCTGCCTTCCTGCAGGGCATGACCGTCAACGGCATCATCAACACGGTCATCACCTCGCTGGAGCGGCGCTACGACCTGCACAGCTACCAGAGCGGGCTCATCGCCAGCTCCTACGACATCGCGGCCTGCGCCTGCCTCACCTTCGTCAGCTACTTCGGGGGCGCCGGGCACAAGCCGCGCTGGCTGGGCTGGGGCGTGCTGGTCATGGGCGTGGGCTCGCTGGTCTTCGCGCTGCCGCACTTCACGGCCGGCCACTACGAGGTGGCGGCGGACGCGGGAGTCAGGACGTGCCCCGCCGACCCCGGCGCAGTGTGTGCCAGCAGTGCCTCGGCTCTGTCCCGCTACCAGCTGGTCTTCATGCTGGGCCAGTTCCTGCACGGCGTGGGCGCCACACCACTCTACACGCTGGGCGTCACCTACCTGGATGAGAACGTCAAGTCCAGCTACTCACCTGTCTACATCGGTGAGTGGGGGCGGGGGACCCAGGGCGGGGCCGCCGAGGGCGGTGCTGCAGGAACGAGGGTGAGCGGCGGAGCCAGCGCTGCCCCGCCTTCCCGTGGCCCTTGTCTGCGTGGCGGGGGGCTGCCACGAGAGGTGGTGGGGGAGGGGGTCCATCCAGCCTGAGGCCCACAGCTGATGCAGGGGACCCCAGCGTTCTTATGCAGACCCTGCTCAGGGCTCCAAGCCGCTGTGCCCGAGAGCGTCAGTGGAACCCCTGCTCGGCGTCCAGCCCCCCTCGCTAGGACCAAGTGTCACAGGGTCACCAGGTGCCGGGTAGTGCCCGGTCTACCGCGGCTGCCCTCATGCTCAGGATGGGAGCCTGGGACCTGACTGGGAAGGAGGGGCTTTCCTGTGGGATAAGAGCCCGAGACCACACCCACGTCTCCCTGACAGCGCCACGTGGGCTCCAGCAGCCACACAGCGGTGCAGAAAAGACAGAGCAACCCCAGAGAGTCAGAACTTTCAGGGAAAATCACACGAAGCAGTTCAGGCCACTTGACAGCTGCCCAGGAGTTAACGTCTGTGCCGCACCCCACGAGGCAGCCGCCGTGGGCCTCTCACTGGCTCCTGGCTCCTGTTTGTTGAGACACAGGAAGGCCCGTGGCCTGTCCCACGCAGCCAAGTTGACCCTGTGCACGGCCCGCCTGAGCCCACTTCTCCGCGTGCCCCTGCCTGGCATGGCTCTCCTGGGAAGGCCCTCGTAGGGACCGTCACAGGGAGCAGCGACCTCAGCCTCCTCCTGGCCTGCTGGAGCTCCGCACATCCCAGTCACTGGCAGGGGCCATCCTGAGAGCCAGGGCAGGCTCTGGGGTCTCACTCCAGTGAGGGGACGTCCACCAGGCCGGACCTTCCCCGCGGCTGGGCCAAGGGGCTGAGGCCTCTCTGGGCCCTTTCCCCACCCTGGGCCCCTCGTGCCTGCCAGGGTCAGCCCGTGCGGCTCCTTAGCCGCCAGATGGGGCTTCCAGAGCCTTTGCCCTTTCGTGAGGGCAAGACCACAGGGCACTTGACTTCGAGGGCATTTATAAAAGCTGACACTGACCCACGTCAAGCCGAATGGCGGCTGCATGGACCGACCTAACTTAAAATTGAGGTCCCGAGGGGAGTGGGGGTAGACGAGGGACGGCGGGGGGTGGGGAGATGCAGGACAGCGGGGGGGTGGGGTGCGGGAGACACGGGACGCAGCAGGGGAGGAGACGGTGGGTGGCAGAGGAGACACAGGTGGGACGCTGGGAGACAGGAATAGTGGGCTTGGGGCTCCTCTCAGGCACGGGGCCCCACGTGACCCTCCGCAGCCCCGAGGTGGTGCCCGGGCGGCCCTGACGCCTGTGCCTGTCTCACAGCCATCTTCTACACGGCGGCCATCCTGGGCCCCGCAGCTGGCTACCTGATCGGAGGCGCCCTGCTGAACATCCACACGGACGTGGGCCGACGGTGAGTGGCCACCACCCTCCTGCCTGCCGCGGGGCCGCACCCACGGGAGCCCACCGAGCTGTCTGCACAGCGGAGAGACCTGCGTGTCTCTGGAAGGGGGTTCTGAACCAGGCCTGGCAAGGAGCAGGTGCTGGGTCCCCCGGGTTGGAGGACTCGGGGGATCTGTGGGGGGCCTTGGGAGTCTGCCCCAGGGCAGGGGGCAGGGAAGACGAGGGTACCCGAGGCCCAGGCACTTCCAAAGCTCAGCTATCCCTGGCCACTGTTTCCCTGATGGAACTGAGATTCCTGTTTCCCTTCCTTCTTTTGTATCTTGTGTGTGGCCCTAGTTTCTGTAAATGTAAGCAGGAGAAAGCAAGGGGGGTCAGGGAAGGGGCAGAGAGAGACAGAGACAGACAGAGGGAAAGACAGGCAGAGATACAGAGAGAGAGACGGAGACAGAGAGACAGAGGGAAAGACAGAGACAGAGATACAGAGAGAGAGACAGAGACAGACACAGAGAGAGAGACAGAGACAGACAGAGGGAAAGACAGGCAGAGATACAGAGAGAGAGACGGAGACAGAGAGACAGAGGGAAAGACAGAGACAGAGATACAGAGAGAGAGACAGAGACAGACACAGAGAGAGAGACAGAGACAGACAGAGGGAAAGACAGGCAGAGATACAGAGAGAGAGACGGAGACAGAGAGACAGAGGGAAAGACAGACACAGAGATACAGAGAGAGAGACAGACACAGAGAGAGAGACAGAGACAGACAGAGGGAAAGACAGGCAGAGATACAGAGAGAGAGACAGAGACAGACAGAGACAGACACAGAGAGAGACAGAGAGACAGAGACAGACAGAGACACAGAGGGAAAGACAGAGGCAGAGAGACAGAGAGAGAGACAGAGACAGAGAGACAGAGGGAAAGAGAGGCAGAGAGACAGAGACAGAGAGACAGAGATGGGGCTTGTGTCCTGCATCTGGGTGCTTCTCTGGGTCTCTGCGCCCCGTCTGGCTCCTGGTTCTGGGCCTCCTTTGCACAGCGGAGGGAGGCGGGCAGGGTCTGGCCCTGGAGGCGCCACGGCATTTCCGCGCCAGAGCAAGCCGGTGCCAGGGTGTCGGTGCTCCCTGCGCTCTCCGTCTGTCTCCGCGGCTTTGCTCCTGGCCTTTGCTGGCCTTTTGCCCTCCCGCCTCCTTCTCGCTGCAGAGATGCGTCCCTGGAGGCCCAGAGCTGGGATGGGCTTCTGCCACTCACCGTGGCCGGCTCAGCCCACGCTTCTTCTCCACCCACCTTCTCATCTGAAAGCGCACTTACGTGCACATCGCCGCGTGCCTGACAGTGCTTTTGAGGGGAGCGGTCGGTGAGCTCCAGCTGAGCCCTCCGGTGTCCCCAGGAACGCCACCTGTCACCCCCCGCGCCGTGGGAGGGATGTCTCGGCCTGCTGTTGCCTGGAGAGCCTACCCCTCCTAACCTCCAGCGCCACTGTGGTCTCAGTCAGGACCAGGCCATGGAGGGCGTCTCCAGACTTGGAGCGTGGGCCAAGGCAGGGACCCGTCTGTCCTAGGGGACAGCCAAGCCAAGGTGGTGCTTGCTTTGGTTTGCAAGGAAGGGACAGGACCTGTGGCCAGCAGCCCCGGGGTCTGGTGTTGACCAGCGTGTAGGCAGACCCTAGAGGTCTGCCCGGAAGAGGGGTCGGGGCCCCCAGTGTGTGTGTGCCACGGAGGGCATGGGTAGGCCGAGCGCTGACCCAGGTTTGCCACTGCCTCTTCCACAGGACGGAGCTGACCACTGACAGTCCACTGTGGGTGGGCGCCTGGTGGGTTGGCTTCCTGGGCTCCGGGGCCGCCGCCTTCCTGATCGCCGTGCCCATCCTCGGCTACCCGAGGCAGCTGCCAGGTAGGTCTCCCTCCCCAGCCCAGCCTTCGCATCGGGAAGACCGTCCCTCAGTCCTGGTGAAGGGGGTCCCCGCCTCCCGCGCCGTCTCTTCCCACTGTGATCAGATCTGCAGCCCACACGCCTCATTCTCAGCCTTTGATCTTCATTTTCCCATCTGGGCGGAAAGACCCCTCCTGGCGGTGGCACAGGTCTTGCGTCCATCCTGTCCCCATCAGGCCACGGAACAGGCTTGTCCCGGTCAGGGCGGGACCTCTGTCCCTCCTTCCCGCCGGCGCTGCATGGGGCCCCAGCCCTCCCACGCCTCCGACCCCGCTTGCGACGTGTTCTCGCAGTTTCTGCTCCAGTGCCCCCACCGCGGGGCCGCGAGGGCTGCAGGGGTGTCGGACGATGACGTTCTCAGAGTAGGGAGGGCGGGGCAGTGGGCAGAGCCTCTCCAGAGAGGCCCCCGGGAGCCCCCAGCCCCAGCTGGCTCTGCCTTCTAGGCTCCCAGCGCTACGTGGTCGTGAGAGCGGCAGAAGTGCAGCAGCTGAAGGCCGGCAGCCGCAGGGCAGGCAGCAGCCCGGGGTTCGGGGCCAGCCTCAGAGACCTGCCTCGGTAAGTACCAGGCGCGCGTCCCTCGTGTGCTAAACCCTTGGAGGGCCCCAAAGGGGGGAGTCGGTGAGACCCTTCCGGATCCTGTGATACGGATGCAGCCCCTAACCTCTGTCGTGACCCACCGACCCCTGAGACCTGGGCTGAGAGATAAGGAGCAGGAAATAGAACCTCCCAGGCCTGGGGACGCACACCCGCCATGAGTCCCACAGAGCCGTGGCTGAGTCCCGTGGGGCTGTGGGTGAGTCCCACGGGGGCCATGGATTGCGTCCCTCAGAGCCGTGGCTGAGTCCCGTGGGGCCGTGGGTTAGTCCCGTGGGGCCATGGGTGAGTCCCACAGAGACGTGGGTGAGTCCTGCCATGCTGCAGGTGACTCCCACCATGCTGCGGGTGAGTCCTGCAGTGCCGTGGGTTAGTCCCGTGGGGCCATGGGTGAGTCCTGAAGTGGGGCCAGGGCCTCGGCCCGCACCCAGGGACCCGTCCCTCACACGGTGCGGAGGCTCCTGCGGACCGCGCCTGGCTCCTGATGGCTGCAGAGCAGATCCCTTCCACACCCGCGAGGCTCCCCAGGGCTGCGTGTCCCGGGTCCCCCAGGGAAGCTGCATTGGACTTGACAGCCTTCCCCAAGCGTAGCCTCCACTCTGACTCCTGTGCCCCGGGGTCCAGGATGCTGACCTCTGTCTCCCTCCGTCCCTCGGGGTCTCTGAGGACCGCAAAAGGGGCAGATTCCCCTGTGATCTCCCCTCCACCCCGCGCGTCCGCTCCGCCCTCCGGGGAGGTGGCCTGCTTTGCCGCCTGCCTTCGCTGCTGAGTGCGGTCCGGCTCCCTCTGCTGACTGGCTGCGCTGCTAGGGAGCACCCGGAGGCCTGAGCCGGCGGGGTCCCAGAGGGACAGCATGGGGCCCGGGGCCCACCGGTCTCTTCTGGGAATCATGCCTTCCCTGGGGGGGCTCTGCCCAGGGCTGGGCAAGGTGGCCCTCAGGGTGGTCAGCGCCCAAGTCCTCCGCCTCTGAGGTCCTAGCATGGGGGGGCTCTGTGCCCTTCGGCAGCTGGTCCCGCGCTCACCAATGGCTGCATCTCGCTGGCCGTAGTGGGAGGAGGGTGTGGGCAATGGGCGAGTCCCCACTGCCTGCCCTCAACTGGGACAGGAGGAAGGCTTCAGGGCCAAAGGCGGCCCCTCAGAAAGCCCCGGGCAGAGAGGCACCGGGCTGGATGAAGGCGGGAGGAGAGGCCTCTGGAGGGCCTTGGTACCCCCAGAGGAGCTGGAAGCTGCCTGCTGAGGAGGGTGACCCCATGGGCCAAGGTGACCCGGGGCCACGTCCACCGGGAGGTGGGCGGTACGGTGAGGCGGCGGCTTGCCCTCTGTCCCCCACCCGGCAGCAGACTGGCTCGGGGCTGAGGAGTGGGCGCCCTGTTCCCTGCGTGGTTGGCTGCGTGCCCAAGGTGCGGGCCTGGCCCTGAGCCTTTCGTTCATCGTGATAAAGAGGTTTGGGCCAGAGCTGGTTCCCTGAACCCGTTTCTGGTAAGACATGGGTTGTGGGACGTGCGCGCTGTATTAAAGTCATGACTAACTCTCTGGGCAAATTCAACACGAGAATTTCAGACAAGCAATCTGTGATTAAGAAACGAGGAAGTTTGCATAGCACCTCGGAGAGTCGTGGCCCTCCGGACACAGCCCCACTCCCCTGCCCTGGCCTGGGCAGGTCTGGGAAAGCCCCAGGAAGGGATGCCCCCAGGACCCCACACAGCAGGACCCCCGAGGGTGCCCCCCCAGCCGTGTATCTCCATATGCCAGGACCCCCCAAGGTGCCCACCCAGCCTGTCACCCCACACACCAGGCCTGGCTGGGGAGGGGGTGGGGGGGGCCGTGGCCCAAGGTGTCCTGTGCCCTGCATCTTGCTTTTGTCGAGACAGGGGACCCAAGTGGTTAACCAGAAAGAAAGGCGTCTCGCTCCTCAGGTCAGGAAATACGTGTTGAAAGAATTCGGCTCTCCTACTTTCATCAGGGCGGGGGACAGAACGCGCCCGTGTTCCTGCTCGGAGGCCAGCCCCGCGCAGCGGCAGTGTCTGTGCGGCTGGAGTGCGGTTTCTGTTGCTGACATCAGCTCCTCAAGGCCCCTGTGGGCCTGCTGGGGCTCAGAGGCTACCGAGGGCCGCGTCACCCCGCCCTAATTCTTCGGAATCTGTTTACATTTGGCCGCGTCCGCAAACACGAGCATTTGAATGTTCCAGGCATTCAGAGGTGTATTCATCCGAGCCAGGTTCTAGGTGGGGCCGCAAGGAAGGGCCGCCCTCCTGCGAGACAGGAGGCCAGCGTCTGCTCTGGCGAGAGGCGGGACAGCGTCGCCAAGGTGCAGACGCGGGGTCAGGTCAGCAACACCGCGGTGTGAGCAGAGGTGACCCTGCAGGCCCCTCCCAAGTGGTAGACGTGTCACGGATTGTGAAAATTTGCACGACTGTAGGCTGCTGTGAGAGCGAGGCTACTGTGCCAAGATCTAGGGCTTCAGGGAAAGTCTCTGCCCCTGGCCCCTGTTACTCATGAGTTCCGGGGACGGGCCAGTAGCTGCGTCTGCAAACACCCCCGTCTGAGGCCAGGAGTCCCAGTGTGGCGGTGAACAGGGCGCAGCTGTGAGCTGGGATGACATGGGCTTTGCCCAGTCTGGGAGGTCTGTGCATTTGCAGAGGCAGAGTCGGGGTGAGCTGTGCACTGGAAGAGGCGGAGTCGGGGTGAACCGTTCACTGGAAGAGGTAGAGTCTGGGTGAACATTTCACTGGAAGAGGCGGAATAGGGGTGAACCGTGTACTGGAAGAGGCGGAGTCGGGGTGAGCCGCGCACTGGAAGAGGCGGAGTCGGGGTGAGCCGCGCACTGGAAGAGACGGAGTCGGGGTGAGCCGCGCACTGGAAGAGGCGGAGTCGGGGTGAGCCGTGCACTGGAAGAGGCGGAGTCGGGGTGAGCCGCGCACTGGAAGAGGCGGAGTCGGGGTGAACCGCGCACTGGAAGAGGCGGAGTCGGGGTGAGCCGCGCACTGGAAGAGGCGGAGTCGGGGTGAACCGCGCACTGGAAGAGGCGGAGTCGGGGTGAGCCGCGCACTGGAAGAGGCGGAGTCGGGGTGAACCGCGCACTGGAAGAGGCGGAGTCGGGTGAGCCGCGCACTGGAAGAGGCGGAGTCGGGGTGAACCGCGCACTGGAAGAGGCGGAGTCGGGGTGAGCCGCGCACTGGAAGAGGCGGAGTCGGGGTGAACCGCGCACTGGAAGAGGCGGAGTCGGGGTGAGCCGTGCACTGGAAGAGGCGGAGTCGGGGTGAACCGCGCACTGGAAGAGGCGGAGTCGGGGTGAGCCGCGCACTGGAAGAGGCGGAGTCGGGGTGAACCGCGCACTGGAAGAGGCGGAGTCGGGGTGAACCGCACACTGGAAGAGGCGGAGTCGGGGTGAGCCGCGCACTGGAAGAGGCGGAGTCGGGGTGAGCCGTGCACTGGAAGAGGCGGAGTCGGGGTGAGCCGCGCACTGGAAGAGGTGGTTTCCTCCGTGTCTGCCTCGCTCGCTGCACTGGCCACGAGGGCTTCGCGTGGCTGACATGACGCAGCACGTTTTCCGTCTCAGCATCTGTGTGCATAAGCAGCAGTCAGGAGTTTGCCCTACTCGGCCTCCAGTGCCAACAGAAACAGGGAGAGTCCCCAGCCACCCCCAGGACCCCGTGCGCGGGGACTGGCAACCCCGGCCTGCGTCCCACCACACTGCTGTCTGCTGCCTCTCGGGTTAGAGCTTGCAAGGCATGATGTGGGGCATTCCCAGCTTCCACGCGTCACAGCCTCATCCTGAGACCTCACAGCCAGGACCGTAACAGGCAGACATAGAGGCTGAGGCTGAGCCCACAGGGCCGGACAGGGCTGCGGGTCCCCACAGTTCCCCCAGGGCTCCAGGTTCATGCCCCAAGGAATCACCCTGGATGAGGCCTCACCACTCCCAGGGCCGCTGGCCCCCAAGTGTAAACCAAGCCAGCCAGGTCCACTGGGTCCCATTGCAGAGGCTTCCTGTCCCACTCCTCCCAGGGGCCGTTGGTGGAGGACTGGCCGCATCTCTCAGTGACTCCGTTCTGCTACCCCAAGGTCCGTGCTGTCCTGGACTTGGTGGCCTCTGCCTCCCCCAGTCAGCTCCCGTTTTCAGTCCCTGCTGCTGGCTGGTGATGGAACAGGGTCCTGGGTCCCTTGGGGTCTCTCCCCACCTAAGCTGAAGCTCTGGCCGAGGCACTGATAAGGTTTCTCCCTAACCAGGGACTGCAGCTTTCAGGACGAGTGGGCCAGTGGCTCAGGCTGGAGGCATGGGTCTCCACCTGCCAAATGCAGCCTGGCACCCCCCGGGCTTTCTCTGGAATAATGTGGGTGTCCCATACCTGCCTGCACCCCACTTCACTCCCTGTCAGAATGAGGCCCTTTGTGCTCAGGGCGAGGTGACAGCCTCAGGAACAGCAAGCTTCTCACACCCTGGGTCTGGCCCACTCTGACCCTCGGTCTCTTCTCCACCCCCTACCTCTGCCCAGCTCCATCTGGCTCCTCCTGAAGAACCCCACATTCATCCTGCTCTGCCTGGCTGGGGCCACTGAGGCCACACTCATCACCGGCATGTCCACATTCAGCCCCAAATTCCTGGAGTCCCAGTTCAGCCTGAGTGCCTCAGAAGCTGCCACCTTGTTTGGTAAGAAAACTCCGAATCCTGGGGGTCCTCTGCTTTTAGGTCAGTTCTCAGAGAAGCGGAGAGTCTTTGAGGGTGTCTTCTAGAAAGATCCAAACAGGGCACGTGGCGGTGAGTGCCCCCCCACCAGAGCAGGCTTGAAGAGCGCGGGTGTGGAGACTGCCCTGGGGCTCAGCCGCTCGGTCCACAGGCCCTGGGGGGAGGGGGCGGTAGTCCCGCCCCCTTCATGGGCCACGCTCCCGGGTGGGCTCTACCCGCTCACCACCCAGCCTCGGCCTCTGTGACTTGGTGCAGGAAGGGTTTGGACCTGGCTGCCCTGTGAGCCGGGCGCTGGTGCCTCAGGACCTCCTGGGACAGGGTGGCTGGAGCCCTGGGGCCTGCCTGGGGGTTTCTTGGTGCCAGAGACAGGCTGGCCTTCCCAGGCTGGGCAGGTCTGCAGAAGGTGGGGACCCCTCTTCAGAGCCCTTCCTCCTGCCGACCTGTCCCCCCACATGGCCCCTCCGTGTGTTCTTCCTTCCCCCCCCCACCTGCCGCCACCCACCTCCCCTTCCTATGTGTCCCCTCCCCACCTGTCTCCCTACCTGTTCCCTCCATGTGTTCCCCCGTTCCCCTCCCCACCGGTATCCCCCACCTGTCCCCTCCCAACTTGGCGCAGAAGCCAGATGCTGGCTAATCCCACTTTTGTACTGGATGGTGGCCATTTGGGCTTTGACAAATGTCCTCGTCACTGTTAGCCTGTAGGGACTTGGCAGAGGCCTCTGGGGGAGGAGGGGTGTGGCTGCCCTGGGGGGCACTGGAGGAGTCAGTGGCTTCCCCTGGAGCAAGGGCCTCTGACCTTGCAACACTGTGGGCTCTCCTTCACCCCCAGCCCTGCCCCTGCTCCCGCCCTGCGTCTTTCGGCCTCTGAGGCGTCCCCCCGAGGGCCCTGGACAGAGGTCCCTCCTTCCTGGGGCCTCACCAGGACAGCAGCTGAGTGCTGAGGCGTGGGGTCGAGTGCTGCCAGGCAGACAGGAACGGATCCCTCTGTGCCTCAGTTTCCACACCTGTAAAGTGAACCTGGCTGATGCACCACCCTCCCCGACCCGGCCTCCTGCCTGAGTCTCTGGCTGAGTCTCTCCCTCTCCCCAGGGTACCTGGTGGTGCCGGCGGGCGGTGGCGGCACCTTCCTGGGCGGCTTCTTCGTGAACAAGCTGAGGCTCCGGGGCTCCGCGGTGGTCAAGTTCTGCCTGCTCTGCGCTCTCGTCAGCCTGCTGGGCATCCTCGTCTTCTCCCTGCACTGCCCCGGCGTGCCCATGGCGGGCGTCACGGCCAGCTACGGCGGGAGGTGAGGGCCCGCAGTGCCTGGGTACGGGTCTGGGCCCTGAGCAGCCGTGGTCCTTGGGGGTGGCCGAGGAGGGGCGCAGCCCTTGGGGGAGGTGGTGTCTGGAAAGGGCTGCGGTGCAGGACCGAAGCAAGGACAACACCCACTCAGCGTCCACGTGGAAGGGCATCGCGGCAGCCTCGGACACGCCTGTGCTCGGGACCCGGCTGGGCCCCCAGCAGTCTCGTGCCTCTCTGGGGCTCAGCCCTCTGCTCTGTAGCTCTGTCAGCTGGAGCCACAGCCCCAGATACAGGGTCCTCGAGGCTGTTCTCTCCCCGTGACATAAAAAGTGTCCCAGGCTGGGCTCCCAACGTTGCCACGTGCTGGGAATGGGAGAAGACCTGCTGGTCAGGTGGCAATTAGGGAATATCCCAAATGCACACGGGCCGCCTGTGCCTCGGCGCCGCCGCGCGGGCCCCGGGAGGGCACCTGCAGGCGCACAAAGCGGCCGCCGTGTCCCTGTCGGGAGTGCGAATGCTGCAAACAGCCTCAGAGTCGCGAGGGTGGACAGGGTCACCACGCTGTCCTCACAGCAGAGGCCCTAAGGAATGGAGGAAGCTCGTCCCGGGCCACCTCCAGGACACGTGGTGAAGCGGGAAAAAGGAAGGAGTTGGACAGTGGGCGCAGCGTCCTCCGATTTGAGGGGGAAGTGCACACGTCTGTGACGGCCGAGCAGGTGTGTGCGTAGCGACGCCTGCGGTCACACGGCCGGCCTGTGCTGGAGAACCGAGGACCAGCGTGGGGCTGGGGCCGAGGCTGCCTTTGTCCGCCCGGCGCTGCTTCTGTCGTAACGTACGCACTTGATCGACATGAACGTGTTGCCGCCCAAACCAAGCCGACGAGCCTGAGGGGCCTGTGCGCCCGGTGGACCGCAGGGGAGGGCATGGGTGGACCCCGCGGGAGAAGGAAAAATTCTGTCACCAGAAGGCAGCGCCCAGCGTGCTGGGGGTGGCACAGGCTTGGCAAGTTTAGAGACCCAAAATGCCGGCTGGGGGTGACGAGACCCGAGGCTGACCCTGTGCCTGCCGGGCGCCCGTGGCCCTGGCCCCGGCCCCACCACCCTGTGTCCCCTCTGCAGCCTCCTTCCCGAAGGCCACCTGAACCTAACGGCTCCCTGCAACGCCGCCTGCAGCTGCCGGCCAGAGCACTACAGCCCCGTGTGCGGCTCCGACGGCCGCGGGTACTTCTCGCCGTGCCACGCGGGGTGCCCTGCGGCCGCCCAGACCAGCGCGGATGGCCAGAAGGTGAGCACGGCTGCCACCCGCGGCCCTGCCCTCGCGCAGACCTGGGACGGGGCCCGGCCTTCCCCTTGTAATCCGCGCTGTTGTTGCGCTCCCCAGGTGTACCGAGACTGTAGCTGTGTCCCTCAGAACCTTTCCTCTGGTTTGGGCCATGCCACTGCAGGGAAATGCACCTCAACTTGTCAGAGAAAGCCCCTCCTTCTGGTTTTCATATTCGTTGTAATTATGTTTACATTCCTCAGCAGCATTCCTGCGCTAACAGCGACTCTACGGTAAGCCGGGGCCGGGCGCGCCTGTCCACAGCCTCTCTCCACAGCCTTGCCAGTCGGAGCTCCGCGGATCCTGCTCGGCGGGCCTGCCCGTCACTGGCGGCAGGAGAGACCTCACTGTCTCTGACCTCCGGCGAGGGGCTTCCCACTTGGGGAGGTGACGATGTGGCTGGGGGCTGGGCCAGGAGGCCGCTGGCCTGGGGGCTGACTTGGCACGCCTCCCCACTTCTGCGGGCGCTGACGCCGCGTTTGGGTTTCTATTGCAGGTGTGTCTGTGACCCTCAGAGATCCTTTGCCCTGGGAATCCAGTGGATTGTGGTCAGAATACTAGGTACTGTGCAGTTAGGAAGCTGTGGTCGGTTGCACAGTGTGGTCACTGCACAACGGCACGGGCAAGTGTGTAACCACCGGGCAGCCGTGCCTCGCAGTAGGAGGCTGTGCCCGCCTGGGAAGGGTTCTATTCCCTAACTGTCCACTAGAGGGGCCCATCGTCATTTATTTGCCCAAAGACTTTCCTGGGAGATCAGGGGAAACTCCCAGCCCCAATACCCCGAATACCCAAACAAAGGAATATTTGACCCCCCCTGAGAACTCTGACGGCCAGTATCACCTTCCCAGAGCCCAGGATTCCAGGCCTCTTAGCTGCTCGCACCTGCCTGGTCCCCTGACTGCCAGGAGTGTGGGTGCTGAGTGAGGGTGCTGAGTGTGGGTGCCGAGTGAGGGTGCCAAGCGTGGGTGCTGAGTGAGGGTGCTGATTGGGTGCTGACTGATGGTGCTAAGTGGGTGCCGAGTGTGGGTGGTGAGAGAGAGCGTGCTGAGCAGGTGCTGACTGAGAGTGCAGAGTGGCTACTGAGTGAGAGTGCTGAGTGTGAATGCTGACTGAGGGTGCTGAGTGTGGGTGCTGAGAGTGCTGAGTGAGTGCTGAGTGTGGGTGCTGAGTGAAGGTGCTGAGTGTGAGTGCTGAGTGTGGGTTCTGAGTGAGGGTGCTGAGTGTGAGTGCCAAGTGTGGATGCCGAGTGTGAGTGCTGAGTGTGGGTGCTGTGAGGGTGCCGAGTGTGAGTGCTGAGTGAGGATGCTGAGTGTGGGTGCTGAGTGTGGCTGTTGAGTGAGGGTGCAGAGTGTGAGTGCTGAGTGTGAGTGCTATGTGCATGCTGAGTGAGGATGCTGAGGGTGCTGAGTGTGGGTGCTGTGAGGGTGCTGAGTGCTGAGCAAGGATGCCGAGTGTGAGTGCTCAGTGAGGGTGCTGAGTGTGGGTGTTGAGTATGAGTGATGAGTGGCTGCTGAGTGTGAGTGCCGAGTGTGGGTTCTGAGGGTGCTGAGTGTGAGTGCTGAGTGAGAGTGCTGAGTGAGGATGCTGAGTGTGAGTGCTGAGTGAGGATGCTGAGTGACAGCACTGAGTGAGGGTGCAGAGTGAGGGTGCTGAGTGTGGGTGCTGTGAGGGTGCTGAGTGAGGATGCTGAGTGTGAGTGCTCAGTGAGGGTGCTGAAGTGTAGGTGTTGAGTGTGAGTGATGAGTGGCTGCTGAGTGTGAGTGTTGAGTGAGGGTGCTGAGTGGGTTCTGAGGGTGCTGAGTACGAGTGCTGAGTGGGTGCTGAGTGTGAGTGCTGAGTGTGAGTGCTGAGTGAGGATACTGAGTGTGAGTTCTGAGCATGCTGAGTGAGGGTGCTGAGTGTGAGTGCTGAGTGAGGGTGCTGAGTGTGAGTGCTGAGTGAGGGTGCTGAGTGAGGATGCTGAGTGTGAGTGCTGAATGAGAGTGCTGAGTGTGGGTGCTGAGTCAGGATGCTGAGTGAGGGTGCTGTGTGAGAGCGGTAAGGATTCTGAGTGTGGGTGCTGAGTGAGGGTGGTGAGTGAGAATGCTGAATGAAGATGCTGAGTGTGAGTGCTGAGTGAGGTTGCTAAGTGTGAGTCCTGAGTGAGGGGGCTGAGCGTGAGTGCTGAGTGTGGGTGATGAGTGTGGGTGCTGAGTGTGAGTGCTGAGGGTGCTGAGTGTGAATGCTGAGTGAGTGCTGAGTGAGGTTGCTGAGTGAGCGTGCTGAGTGTGAGTGCTGAGTGAGGGTGTTGAGTGAGGATGCTGTTACGATGCTGAGTGTGAGTGCTGAGTGAGGGTCAGAGTGGGGATGCTGAATGTTGGTGCTGAGTGTGAGTCCTGAGTGAGAATGCTGATTCAGGATGCTGAGTGTGTGTGCTGAGTGTGAGTGCTGAGTGAGGGTGCTAAGGAAGCTGAGTGTGGGTGCTGTGTGAGGATATTGAGTGTCAGTGCTGAGTGAGGATGGTGAGTCAGGATTCTGACTGTGAGTGCTGAGTGTGGGTGCTGAGTGAGGATGCTGAGTGTGAGTGCTTAGTGTTGGTGCTGACTGTGAGTGCTGAGTGAGGGTTCTGAGTGTGGGTGCTGAGTGAGGATGCTGAGTGTGGGTGCTGAGTGAGGGTGCTGAGTGTGAGTGCTGAGTGTGAGTGGTGAGTCAGGGTGCTGAGTCAGGGTGCTGAATGTGAGTGCTTAGTATGGGTGCTGAGGGAGGGTGCTGAGTGTGGGTGCTGAGTGTCCGTGGTGAGTGCGAGTGCTGAGTGAGGGTGCTGAGTCGGTGCTTAGTGTTGGTGCTCATTGTGGGTGCTGAGTGAGGGTTCTGAGGGTGGGTGCTGACTGGGTGCTGAGTGAGGGTGCTTAGTGTGGGTGCTCTGTGGGTGCTGAGTGAGGGTGCTGAGTGTCGGTGCTGAGTGGCCCTCTCTCCGCAGGGGGCATCCCGGGGCCCATCGTCTTCGGCTGGGTGATCGACAAGGCCTGCCTGCTGTGGCAGGACCAGTGTGGCCAGCCGGGCTCCTGCCTGGTGTACCGGAACTCCGACATGAGCCACTACATACTCATCATCGGGCTCCTGTACAAGGTGAGCAGGGCCGGGACCGAGGGCGGCTGGGGACCGAGGGCGGCTGGGGCTCCGGACCCCCCGCAATCTGCCAGCAGCTTGGGCCCCAGCCCCGGACATCACGGGCGTCCCGTGGCGGGTTTCTAGAAGGGGCCCTTCCCGCGTTCCTCACGAGCTGGTTGTGGGGGGAGGCGGGCCAGCCACGGGGGCTCTGGGGTTCACCGTCCGGCCCCCAGCAGCTCCAGCAAAGCCCAGGCTCGGGCGCTGCCCCCTCCCCTCCCGGCGTGGCCTGGCACTGGCCTGCGGTGCCTGTTCGCTAAAAGCTTTGCAGAAACGAAAAGGGCCCCCCCACCCTGTCACAGCGGCTCCGCTGGCGTCCGCGCTGGGGCCTGGGCTGGGGGCCGGCGGGCAGGTCGCAGCCTCTCCATGCTCGGTGCCTTCAGTTCCGCTGGATCTCTTAGCCCGACCCTCATTTTTCAAGCGCACAAAACCTTTTTGTTGTGACTCTTGGCGTCTGCAGCCTGGGAGGAAGCTCAGGATTGTTTGGAATTTGCCCCCATTAGAGGATAAAGCACAAAAGCTTCTAAAAAAAAACATTGCGGTCCCAGGGCCCGCTCTTCAGAGGATCTTGACGCTCTTCCTTGGGTGACAGACCCGGGAACGTGCAGCCGTCAGGAGCCCCTGGCCACAGGTGCCAGGAGGGAGGTTGGAGAAAGGGAGGGAACCCAGCTGGTTCACCTCCCCTGGGATTAGCAGAGGATCGGCCAGTCTGCATAGGGTTAATTTAAAGACAAATGCCTCAGTTTCCCCTCATCTGAGGTTTCACTTTCCACGGTTTCAGTTACCGGAGGTCAACCACAGTAAGAATGTATTAACTAGGAAATTCCAGAAGCAAACAGTTCCTAAGTTTTAAAGCATGTGCCGTTCCGCACACTCTGGTGGAACCTTGATCTGTCCTGCCCAGGACTCAAATCCTCTCTGTCCAACTTTGGAAGAAGGTCAGAAATTACTCTGCAGGGAGCTTTCGGGATACTGGACATGAAGGCACAAGCCCTCTGTGATATGATTTTTGCTTTGGCGTAAAATAACCGATGACAGGCTCATGCCTGTGATCCCAGCACTTTGGGAGGCCGAGGCGGGCGGATCATCTGAGGTCAGGAGTTTGAGACCAGCCTGACCAACATGGAGAAATCCCGTCTCTACTAAAAATACAAAAAAACTAGCTGGGCGTGGTGGCGCGTGCCTGTAATCCCAGCTCCTCGGGAGGCTGAGGCAGGAGAATCACTTGAGCCCAGGAGGCGGAGATTGCGGTGAGCCGAGATCGTGCCATTGCACTCCGGCCTGGGCAACAAGAGCCAAACTCCGTCTCAAAAACTAAAATAAATAAAATTTATTTTAGGACCTTAAAATTTATATCAGGACCCTCTGATAGGCGTGTCTCTGCTCAGGCTTGGGAGTGGTGACATCTGGGGAGACCCAAAGGCATGTACACGTCAGGAAATTCACGAAATGACTTCGTAAGACATAACCGTGCCCAGCGTGTGCAGGCCGTCCACACCACGGCCTGTTAGTCGCTTCGCAGCCAGCCTGGTCACCACACCCCCATCATCGTATCGCAGTGCCGTGTTCCAGCCGCACCCATTTTGCCTAATCATGGCCGCAAAACGCCAGAGCGTTGACGCCACCATTCAGCTCCGCCAACGGGAAGCTGGAGGTGCTTCCTTCAGTGAGAAGCTGTGGTTTCTTGGCTGGGCTCAGTGCCACACTTGACTCACGGGTCCACAGGGGTCTCAGTGTCTGCGGATGAGGGGTCTGCGGTACGTTCCCAGGGAGCCGCCCAAGAGTCTGCTGTGTTGAGTGCATCCCCCAGCCGGGAGCAGCAGGCATGGGCCCTGCACACAGCCACCCCCGGGCCCAGCACAGCCAGCGGGAGCCGTGTCCAGAGGGTCAGAGCTGGCCTCAGCCACGCATGCGTCCATGTTCATTTTAGCAGGGAGCACACAGTGTCTCCTATAAACCCCTACACGTTCCGCTTCGTCCAGTGCCGAGTCAAAACAGCCTCCCTCCACGAATGCAGCCTCAGGGCCGTCAGTCAGGCTGACGCTGCTGGAGGCACCATGGGTGTTTCTGGGCCACGCCCAGCGTGGAAACTGTAGTGGTGCATGTGCCCTCTGCATGTGCATGGTGGCAGCATCCGAGCTCAGACCGCGCTGTCTTCGGGGCCCACATGGGATTCCTGCCACGTCATCCTCGTGCAAGGTCAATGCGGCCCCTGGTTGCTGACAAAGAAACCAAGACACTGATGGTTAAGAACTAACCATCGTGACGGCGCCAGGGCAACCAGCTCTGTGTGAGGTTCCTGTGGCCGCCACAACAAGGGACCGCAAATGGGTGGCCTAACCTGGCAGAACCAGATTCACTGGCAGGGCTGGCGCCAGAAGTCAGAATCAAGGTGGGGGCAGGGCTGGCTCCTCCCGGGCTCCGGCTCTGCCTGCAGCTGCACGTGGCCTTTCCCTCCGTGTCCCTGCCTCAAGCCTCCTCTCCTTTCTCTCCTGAGGACACCAATCATTGGATCTGGGGCCCTCAGATCCAGGATGATCTCATCTCAAATCCTTAATTACAGCTGCAAACACCCTGTTTCCAAAAAAGGTCCCATTCACAGGTGTCGGGTGCTGTTCAACCCATGACAAGCCCCCAGTCCTGGGCCTCTGTTTGCAGTCAAAGGCATGTTTCACTGTCTCCTTAACACTGGTGTCTGCTCTAGGAACCGGTTATATGGGAAAGGTACCCTCAGAGCAGGTTGGGTTCCGTGGACCTGGTGAGGGCCCTGCAGGCCAGGGGACAGAGACAGGACTGAGACAGGCCCCCAGTGTCCAGAGGTTCCGGCCGGGCTCCCCACGAGGTCAGCGGGCTCCTCCTCTCTCCGCAGGTACTGGGCTCCCTCTTCTTTGCTACAGCCTACTTCCTATATAAGCCTCTGTCGGGGTCTTCAGATGGCCTGGAAGCTTCTCTGCCCAGCCAGTCCTCGGCCTCTGACAATCCTGCAGATACCCAGCTCCAGAGCAGCGTCTGACCACCACCCACAGCCACGGCCACGGCCACGGCGGCCACTCAGCATTTCCTGAGGACGGGAACAGTGCCCTTGGGTGACGCAGTCACATGGAAACTTCAGTTTGACCTGTGGCTGAAACTCTGCTGTGACCTTCTGTCCTGGAGCTTTGCAGCCCTGCCGTGGGTGGGAGCACCTTGCACAAATTGATATTTATGGACACATTTTGCATCAGAATGTATTTATCGAATGTGTTTTATACCTGATTGTGTGTGGTGTGCGTGAGGGCACGCTCCGCAGGGGCTGTGAATCCCACGGGGAGGATGTGGGCCTGCAGCCAGAGGAAGGCTCGTACGTCCTCAGTTCAAACTGTGCATCTGTAAATATATTTTGTTACTTAAGCTTGCGTCCCCGGACTGTGTGCTTTATTTCTATGAGTTTGCAGTTTGCTGGTCCCACTGTCCTTGGCCTGACCTTTGGGACTCTGCTCCAGCAGAGGGAGGCTCCCGCCTCCAGTCCAGCCGCAGGCCCCAAGCTTGGCTGCCTGCCTCAGGCACATCTGTGAATGACCTGGGCTCTCTTTGCACATCGGAACTGAGGGCGCAGGTGGCCGGCCACTGCTGTTACCACAAAAGTGTGTGTGTGTGTGTGTGTGTGTGTGTGCGCGCGCGCGCGCGTGCGGGCGTGGGTGCATGTGGTGTGTGCGCCTGCCCTCGGTCACCCGTTTGACCTCATCTCACAGAAAGGAAGTGTAGGCCCAGAGACATGAGGGTGCCTCCCTCATCCCCAGGCCCCGCCTTCCTCATCCCCAGGCCCCGCCTCCCTCATCCCCGGCCCCGCCTCCCTCATCCCCAGGCCCCGCCTTCCTCATCCCCAGGCCCCGCCTCCCTCATCCCCGGCCCCGCCTCCCTCATCCCCAGGCCCCGCCTTCCTCATCCCCAGGCCCCGCCTCCCTCATCCCTGGCCCCGCCTCCCTCATCCCCAGGCCCCGCCTTCCTCGTCCCCAGGCCCCGCCTCCCTCATCCCCGGCCCCGCCTCCCTCATCCCCGGCCCCGCCTCCTTCATCCCCGGCCCTGCCCCCTCATGTCCCCTGCGCCTCTCATCCCTGGGCCACCAGCTGCACTTGGACTCTGCAGCTGGCCCTGGGCATCCTCCAAGGATCGATTGGCTCCAGGAGCCCTCCCCAAGCCGTCCTGGAGTCAGCCCTGTGGAATCTGTGGATGTGAAAAGCCAGCCCTTCTTATCCTCCCCACCTGAGGATGAAAAATTCAACCCACCTTGGATGGAAAATGCAGTTTTTGCGGGAGATGGAACCGGAGGGCACGGAGGGCAGATATACGTACGTGAGTGAAAATACACCTACCCGAGTGTGCCCGTGTTCTTATGAAATAGAGCCGTGTTGCATCACATCCCCCTCCTGATTCATGAACGGCTGGCATCAACTGCTTGGCATCCCCCAGAGCCATGGGTTAAAGCCCCGGCCCCGATGGCTGTGTTTGGGGGCAGGGCCTTTTGGGAGTTGGTTATGCACAAGGTCGTAAGGGTGGGGGCAGACCCCCCAGGACTGGTGTCCTTAAAACGAGAGACCCCTGCCATCCCTCGCTATGGCCGAACCCTTCCCGGTCACTGAGCCCTGCAGCCCCAGGGCCTCTCTGAGAACTGACCTAGTTTCAGCCGGGACAGATCAGAACCCACAGGTGGTCCCAGCACTGAGGACAGACGCCACCATCGCCCTCCGCCTGCCAGTTCTCAAAACCGCATAATACCTCAGTCAAGACCTCCCCAAATTAAGGTGCAATCTGGTGCTGGTGACATTTTGATCTGCCAAGTAAGGAGATAAAACACAGACAGCCATAAGGAGAGGGGACCTGGGCTCACCGGATGCTTGTGCAGAGCTCACTGCTGTGGCTGCGGGGCCAGGGAGGGGCATCAGGGAGCAGAAGGCGCCAGCCATCTCCCAGAGTCCCAGGATACTGTTTCAGCGGACGCCTGCCCTCATGCCCTCTGCTCAGAGCTACGTCCCAGTGCGTGGGAGGGAGGCAGGAACCAGCCCTACTCCCAGCTGAAGGAGGCGTTCTGGTGCCGGATGTGAGTGTTGGGTCACAGCCGGCTGCACCTGTCAGAGACACATGGCACTGAGCGTCCATGTGGAGGTGTCCCCGGGGCCCTCTGGGAGATTCATGGAAGCCGTCAGCCTGCAGGGTGAGCCGAGCTTGGTCAGGGGAATCATTCGGGAAGACTGGGCAGATCCAGATGGGACCCAGGGACCCCAGGACAGAGCGGGTGGAAGAGGCCGCGTCCTCACATCAGGGAAGGGGAGAAGAGCCCGGGGCACTGGGTGAAGGGATGGGAGGGAGACAGCACGTGTGGCCCAGCCAGCAAGGGTGGTGCATTCTCTCAGCTGCCAGTGGTCAGGATGGTCTCTGAGTCACAGATGACGATCCCAAGGGTCTGAGTGGCCCTGTGTGTTCCCCGACGTCTCACAGTGACAGATGGGCAGAGGCAGGGGCTGGACTGCCAGCGTCCCTCGGTTCGTAGGTCGAAGCCCAGCCCCAGGTGTGATGGTGTTAGGAGCTGGGACCTTCAGGGGGTAACTGGGGCAAGATGAGGGGCGGAGGGTGGCCCCACGATAGACTCAGCCCTGCACGAAGAGGAAGAGACCGGGCTCCTCTTCCTCCGCCTGCGGACACGGCGAGAGACAGCTGTCTGCCGACCAAGGAGCGGACCCTCCCAGGGATCCCAGCCTTGCTCGTGGGCGTCGGGGCTCTGGAGTGTGAGCAAGGCTCAGGCAGTGTAGGAGCCGCCCAGCTACGGTTCTGTGACGGCCGCTGAGCTGATGGAGGCCACGGAGTAACGACTCCGGTCTGGGGGCCCCAAGGGCTGTCCCGCTCCAGTGCCCTGCCCCTACCCTGGATGCCAGGAAGGAAAAGAAACGCCCTGAGCTGCAGAGAGGACAGAGAGAGGGAAGGAAGAGGACCAGCGTGTTTACAGAGGGTATAGGTAAACCCTAACACCGCGGAGGCTCCGGCCAGGAGGGAGCTCGCGTCTTCCAAGGAGCAGCTCTGGAAGACACGGCCTCACCCACCATCCCCTGAAGCGGCTGGGTGTGCGCCGGCCCACTCATCAGTCACTGGCATTGCGAGCATCTCTCTCCCTGCAGGCATCAAGAGCTCGCTGTGCGTGATGGATGAGGCCACCAAGCCCAGATCCCCTTCCTGGGCCCAGGAGGGCCCCTCCCGTGCTCGGGCAGTTCCCAAGAGCCTCGAGGTCTCTGCAGCTCTTGAGCTCCACCGCCCTCACCTCCATCTAAGCTCCCTCATTGACATCGGTCTGGCTCTGACTCAGATCCAGGGAAGAGACAGGAGCAGACAGCTCACGGGGACAGCTGGGACACGGGGCAGAGAGGAGTCTGGTTGCAGCCTGGTCCCGGCCCCAGCCCCCCAGGCCTGGTGACGCAGCCTCTGCGTGACTCACAGTGCGGGGAGCATGCGGCTCCTGGCCCTGCCATGGAGGCCAGAAGGCATCTGCAGACCCACACACAGCCCACCCGCTCCTCTGGGGTCACAGGCGCATCCAGCCTAGCAGGCTCACGGGCCCTGGGCACGCCCTTGGCTCCGCGCTGGCCCGGGTCCTGGCTGGCTCACATAGCTGGCCCCTGCCCTCCCATGTCCTGGGAGGAGCCCTTGGGATTAGCCAGGAAGGTTCGGCCACAGGCCTGGCTGCTGGTGGGGAGAAGAAAGAGATGCGTCCTGGGGAGGGCGGGGTAGGCAGGAGTCCCACGAGCCCACTTGGTTTTCCATAGAGAGATTCGCCATGGCTGCTGGGCCGGGAGCTCTCGGGACCTCGTGTGTGCTGTGCATTAAATGCGCTCTTCAGGACTCAGATGCCAGTAGTGGCTGGAAATGTCAGATTTTCTGGTTGTTGCACCAAGTTCCTTGTGTTCATTTTAAAATAATCATTGAATTTGGCCAGGCACAGTGGCTCACGCCTATAATCCCAGCACTGTGGGAGGCCGAGGCAGGCAGATCCCTTGACGCCAGGAGCTTGAGACCAAACTGGGCAACATAGTGAAACCCTATGTCTACAAAAAAAAACTAAAAAATCAGCCAGGCATGGTGCGTGCACCTGTAGTCCCAGCTACTTGGGAGGCTGAGGAGGGAGGATTGCCTAAGCCTGGGAGGTCAAGGTCGTAGTGAGCCCTGATTGTGCCACCACACTCTAGCCTGGGTGACAAAGTGAGACACTTTCAAAATAATAAGACGAATTGAATCTAGACTATAAGAAGAATTCCTACAACCCAACAATTCGAAGATGATCCAATTCTAAAAATGGCAAAGAATTTGAATTTTATTTCCTCATGTAGAAAAGGCCAACAAGCCCAGGAGTAGACACCCAACATGTTCCCAGACACCCAGGGAGGTGCAAACCAAAGCCACAGTGCTGACTTCACCAAAAATGAAAGCATGCACACAACACCAGAAAGCGCCACGTGTCAGCAAGGATGCGGAGAACCCGGAATCCTCGAGCACTCCGGCGGGGAATGCGGAGAACCCGGAATCCTCATGCACTGTGGGCAGGAATGCAGAATAGTGGAACAGTGCAGCCGCTTTGGGAAACAGCTTGGCAGTTCATCGCAAAGTTTACCATGGAATTAGCAGATGATCCTGCAATTCCACTTGTAGATATCTACCCAAGAGAATTGAAAACATACGTCCACAGAAAAACACATACACAAATGTTCACAGCAGCATTGCTCGTGATAGACAAAAAGTGAATCAGCCCAAATGTTAAGTGACTGATGAGTAGGTAAACAAATGTGGGCTTTCTACATGGTGGACCTCCCTTGGCCATCAATCAAAAAGAATGAATCATCCGTGGACCTTGAAAACGTTGTGATCAGTGAAAGACGCCAGACACAGAAGGACACATGTTTTGTGATTCCTT